ATAAAATAAAAATACAATATTCAATACAGCACAATATGCATGGTTATGGTTTCATATTTTTAAAAGACAATAGCCAACTAAAGATATTTAGATACCTCAAATTATTTTCTGTAAAATTCGTTTCTTGTCTATCTTTTATTTGTGGTTACTTAGTAGTAGACAAAGATATAAAACATAAAATTTAGAATAAGTCAAACCTTAACAATTTTCTGCTATGAATTATTAGAAAACTATTATTAATATATATCAATGTTTTACTACCTAAGTTGAGCCCACAAGTAATTACTATTATTTCTGTTTCAAAGAACTATTTTGAAGAAGGTTCAAGTAGTCTTACATATTTCATATGGCAAAATAATCTTATATATTCTATGTTCCCAGGTGAATTTAGGTGAATCCTTATTGTTTGATAGTTGATCCTGACTAGATTTTCCACAGCTTCATGGGGAAGGGAGGGACAATCTGGCTTATCTCCTCCCAGACTGCATTATTTAAGTCTCTTTCTGTGACCTCAAACATTCTCCATTTATGTCATAATTGTTAGTTGCATGTCTGTTTCTCTTAACTTGTATTTTGTTTCCTCAGAGGAATTGCATTAATCAAATTTATTGGCATGTCTCTAGCGCTTGTACAGTGTATAAAAAATTGCATCTGACTAGTAGTCTAACACTTTTCCCAATGTTTGAAAAACAAACCAAAACAACAACAAAAGGTCTTTAACGACTCAGAATATGTTGATAAATTACAAGCACACCAAACATCTGACATGATAGAAAACCTACTGCCAAAATAAATAGGGAGTAACTATAAATTTCAAGTCAATGAAGCTGTCCTGAAAAACAGTTCATGTTCTGCTCAACCACAAGAAAATGGAAACATATTTTCATGAAATAAACAACAAAGTTTTTAGTTTTTCTCCTAAACTCAGAAATTCAAATCTGTACTTGATGGAAATGACTCAAGTCATAAAATGTCAATAAATATTTCTGGATCAGAAGAGTCAGTAGGCTAAATATTGTCTGTTTCTCTCAATTATCCAGCAGGTTTAATACATTTCTAATTAAGTTTCCAGTAACATTTCTTTTGTAATTAGTAAAACAATTCTAAAAACAGAGATATAAGAGTAAACTGAAGAACATACAGTAAAAATAAGTACATTACAAACTGTAATAAAGCTTAATATAATAGTGAGATTTATTAAACAACTGTAAAATTGTGCGGTTTACTCAACAAATCAATGAGAACAAAAAAATAGAATAATCACACTGTAATATATATCATATAAGATCTGAAAATGTGACCTATAATCAAGAAATATCAGAACTTTATATAAAATTGATTAAGTAGTCAAATAACACAAGGAGGAAAAATGAAAACCTATACAACATTTCGTATTTGTGTGCATGTGATTTTTATCACCCACAAAAATTAAATTAAGAATTAAGTACAAAGATAATTTTAAAATCTACTGAAATATAAGCAAACAAATCATGTATGGATGGGGAAAATTTTCTGATTAAATAACTGCAATGTAACTACAATGGAAAAGTGAAAAGAAAAAAAGCAACAAAGTCTCTCACAAATAATCCTTACGGTTGTGGTTTTATTCTGGGTTTGCCAACAGGCTGTCTGCCTAAAATAAAGTCTTTTGACCTTAATCCTTATTTGGGGTCAGATGCTAGAAACTAGATATATCTTGGAATTCTTGCACTTTTGAATAATAGTTGTATTTTTTTTCCCTTTGATGAGGGTAGAACCAAAGATATATTTATTTGGCAGCAATACGAGAACAAATAGCATTACATGTATTTATTGAAAAACAATTAGTTATCTGAATAACATTGGAGGTCAAAATTTAGAAGATAGTGACAATAAAATGTACTTAGTGCTGACCAGGTACTAGGCATTGGGCTATATGTTTACCAGAATTAACAGTATTTACTTTTGCAAGAACCTGAAAAGGTAGATTTTATTACTTCCTCTTCTTCTGTGGGTTAGGAAGTTAAACACTTACGAAGTTTAATGACTTTTCTAAGAATATAGAGCAATAAAGTGTTAGAAACTTAAATCTAAGCCCAGTCTGTATGATTCCAGAGCCCACAGCTTCAGCCACTACAATTGGCCAACACAAGGAGACCAACAGTTATTTTGCCTCCTTCTAAATTTAATAATTTATATTTCTGGAATTCAATAAAGATAATCAGAGATAGAATCAATATATATTTATAAGAAAATATATCAGGGTTACTAAAGTGTTAAATAATAGGAAATAGTAGCAAAACCCATCACATACAAAGATGATGACATATTATTCACCAATGCAACACAGCATCAACAACTAAGTGGTGTTTGCTAAACCCTGTATTGGTTGTTAAAGATTAAGTTAAACATAAGACACAGGCGTACTATCATGGAGTTCAGGTGGTGAAGAAAACAAGTAAATAAGTAATTAAATTAGCAAAACATGGTAATTTTAATCATACACCTAAGGAAGCATATGTAAAAGAATGGCAACAGGCCTATTTTGATGGATAATGAAAGCAAAGCTTCCTAGAAGTAAAATCTAATACAAAATATAATTTAATAGAGAATAATGAATAATAGCAAGTAAATATTTAAGACATACATTTGCATATAAACCATTACAGGTAACTGTAACACAATGGTAAGTATTTGTGGTTGTTTAAACATAGACAAGGTACAGCAAAAATACTGGTATTATAATCTTACGGAACTGCTGTGGCATATGAGGCCCACTGTTGACTGAAAGGTCATTACAGGGCACATGACTATATTATATAATTTCTCCGTAGGATTGCAAATAATTGTTATTAGATTTTAAATATTTTTTTCTATTTCTCAATACATTCACACATTTTAATTATATATATGACACTCATAATCAGAAAAACTCCAAATATATAAAATACATTGCTTAAAATAACAAAACACAAATTCATAGCCTATTGACAATTACCATAGGGATGGAGTACATTGATGAAATTTTTTTGGTGTTGAGTGAAAAGGTTGCATTTTTAGTCAGGTATAAAAACTACATTTTTGAGTAATAGAAGATTAACACACATATAGCAGACTATTTTATGACTGTCATAAAACTGGAAGAAAATCACACATTTTCACAATTGTTCATCTAAAAACCTCTGGAATTCAATTATATTGTATACTTTAAAAGAGCCACATATCACTTGAGGTATTACCCTGCATTCAAACATAGCAATATTTCTGAAGTGAAAAGTGTGAAATAAATAAATTATGGTCCAAAAAATATGGTCACACAAGTTCCTGTTAGGTTTTTTAGCCAATAAATATTGAAACCAAACATAAGAAAGAAAAAAAATTATTGTTTTTCCAGATGTTTGGAAACTTCTCCATTGCGAATAGAAAATTATTGATCTACCAGGATAATCTTTTAGAAAAGTATTCAAAAGAAGCAATTGTAAAGCCAGAGACATCTGAAATAACTGACGCAGAAAAGTTCGGATGGTTAGATTAGGGTGTGTTCTGGGATGTCTTCTCTGCCACAAGTCAATTTCAGGGTCAGAGACTCTGCCATAGTATGATACTCTCTGAGGGAAATTGTATGGCGTCAGATGTCTAGAAACTAGATATATCTTTGGGTTCTTGCACTTTTGAATAATAGTTGTATTTTTTTCGTTTTGATGAGGACAGAACCAAAGAGACATTTATTTGGCAGCAATGTGAGAACAAAAACGTGAAAGGTAAAATACTGAATTGTGGTATAATAGAATACAAAGACTTCCCTCTGAGTGCACAAAGCCAAGAAACATTTTAGCTACAATAAGGGACTTGGAGTTTGAAAAACTGAATTTTATTTATAATTGCAATTACTTTATAGGATGGTCATTCACTTGTTTTTCCTCACCTAAAAAATGTGTGAGTCCTGCCACACGCTTTTATGTAATCTCAGTTACCTGAATATAATGCATAAAAGGAAACTCATGCAAATAATTTTAATTATAAATGATATGTGATTATTGTTGGTAAAGGGAATTGGAGCCCAAGCAAAGCAAAATCACAAAGTTGTCAGTGCTTGAGCTGAACAACGTAGCTTGAAAGAAAACTGAGGTCAAGAAACCAGACTGGGGCTGGTGTTCCTTATCTGCCAAGGAATAGGAAGGTGATATAAGGGGAGGAGACAGGTGGCTCAAATCAGAGTACCTGCTTGGTTCACAATGCTGAGACGTGAGTTATCCTAGGTCGGATGAAATTGTCAAAACTGTAGAAAAAAAAATTGAAGAATTATCTCCAGCTCCCTAACAACTCTGCACCTGAGTTTACTTCTTCACAAAACAAATGTTATCAATAAAGGCAATCTAGAAATTCCTTATTAAAAAACATCAAAGCTACTGTGCAATTCTAGAGTGATGATTATACCAGAGGGTAGAAGCAGTTAATAGCTAGGTAGACAATTAACAACCCAAGAAACAAGAGCAAATAGAAAAAAGCTGCAGCTCTAAGAGTCAGCAGCGGAGTAACTGTGGACTCAGGATTAGAACTATATTAGAATATATAGGCAATGAGAAAATAATGAAAGTCAATGTGTAATTTTATATATTGGATGGATTGGAGGTATACAAAGTACTAACTAAAATTGAAAAGTATCACTTCTACTAAGAGGAAGAGGGATTAAAGAAAGATAGAGGTATAGAGAATATATTTGTAAGGATACAGCGCTCTCCAGAAGTGACACCAGGAACTGAAACCGATGTGTAAGATTTTCCTAAAGTTTTTAATTATAACTTTCTACATCTGTGTCTTTGTAAGCATATGTAACTTCTCCTTTTACCAGCTCAAGTAACAACATTTATTGCCTCACTGGAACTGTCACCTCAGGGAAAAAAAAAATTGTTCAGCTGGATGTGAAAATAAAATTGTAATTTATTTCTGTTCTAAAAACTATTGTTTTAAAGGAGATAATTAATTTGTTCCACTATATTAAAGTGACTTTATTTTGCTTTTATGTGCACATGAGCCATGTCATTGTTTAAAATGGTTCAGGGACATATACTCAATTAATTTGGTTTTAAATTATGGTATTAAAAAATAAAACTCTTTGATAAGCTCAGGGGAAAACTACTGTCTTCTTCCCACTCCTAAAATTCAATTGGAATTGACTCAGCAACCAGAATGCCTATGGATAAGACTGCCCCAAGTCCCTTTCTTTCCTAAGCATAATTCAAGTCCTGACAATTTCCTACCTTCAATCCCATCTTCCTCTAAGACCCCTCACATTAGGACCCCATGAACCCTTGGATTGGAGCAGCTGGAACATAGCCTGGCGGATTGTCTTGATCTTCAAGCTGTAAATGATAGGGTTCAGCACAGGTGGTAAGAGCAGATAAATATTGGCCAAAGTGCTACAGAGCACCCTTGGGGTAGAGTGGAAGAGGCGGTGTGCCAAAGAGAGGCTGATCATTGGCACATAGAAAACAGTGACCGCACAGATGTGACAGACACAAGTGCTGAGAGCTTTTTGTTGCTTCTTTCGGGCCACAATGCTCAGAACAGTACGGAGGATCAGGACATAGGAGAAAAGAATAAACAATACGTCAGTGCCGTTCAGGTATAGCTGAAGAAACAATCCCCAAAAACTGCTGATCCAAGGTTTGGAATAGGTGTATTTGATCACTTCTGGGTGGTAGCAAAATGGATGGGAAAGCTCATGACCCCCATGAAAAGATGCAGTGTTTGTGGCTACAACAACGGGAAGTAAGAAAACTACTGGTCTAATGCAGATGACCAGCCCTATCACCAGGATCATCCTGTCCGTGAGGGTAGCAGCATAGTTCAGTGGGTTACAGATAGCCACGAAGCGGTCAAAGGCCATGGTTACCAGCACCGAGGACTCCAGCAAGGAGAAGGCATGCACAAAGAACATTTGAATGAAGCAAGCTTTAAAGCTGATCTCCCGTGCATGAAACCAGAGAACACCAAGCACAGTGGGAAGGGTGGTAATGGTCAGGCATAGATCAACAGCTGCCAGCATGGAGAGGAAATAATACATGGGCTTGTGGAGTCTCCGCTTGGTAATGATGACAAGAAAGATCATACTGTTTCCCAAGAGGGCAATGGTGTAGAGACAGCATACTGGAATGGAGATCCAGACATGAGCACATTCCAGCCCAGGGAATGCAGTGAGGAGGAAAGTTGAGGAAGACGAAGTGGTGTTATTGAATATTGCCATGGTTGGTTGAAGACACTGAACTACGAGGAAAAAAAAATAATTAAGATTCTTTATATATATCATACATTTAATTAGTCATTTTATATACAATTGTAAATTTAAGGTAGTTATTTATCTTCTGTTTTAAACATAGGAAATGGACCCAGGAGGGTTAAATAGTATGTCTAGACTAAAATAGTTAAAATACAGACTCAAATTCAAAACCAAATTTACTAACTCCAAAGTCTATTATTTTTTACTAAACTTCTGATGATCAGAAAGGCCAGGCTAATGAGACAATCTGGAGAGCTGAATGTTGTAATTTCCTTCTTTTAAAATACAAAAACTTTTAATGTCCTCTTATATTTGTATATGAAGTATAGGAGGGATGGAGATGAGAAATAAGCAAAATAGAGAACTATGTTCTCATGACTCATCTAAAGAAGAATGTTTGTGGAGTCCAAGTGTTTTTAAAATTATGTGTAAAAGTCTACATATGCTTGTATTGTTTTTGTCTTCATGTGCTGATGAATGCAAGGGGCATTTGGGGGTGCAAAAGTAACTAAGCGATGATATGCTTATAAAGCAGATGTCAGTTGTCCTCTGTTCTTTGAATGGTATCTCATAAAGGCAAAGAAGAAATGACACTGGATAGGGCAAGAGGAGAGGAGACAGTGGCTCAGTTTGCTGCTGGGGAAATTTTCCCTGTGGAATGGAGACAGAAGAAGCAGCAGAGGGCTTTCTCTCTGTGAGGTCATACACTCTGGAGCCAGTGGTAGGTCAAAGTTCAGTTCCTAAGTTTATCAAGGTTTTCTCAACATTGCCAGCTAACCAGAGCAATATGTAAGTGCTTTCTCTCTTCAGGTACAAGTCTCCATCTGACTGGCCAGGAAGAAGGTAGCATCTGCCCATTCATACACAGAAGACCAGGTGAAATTGTTTGAATAACACTCACTCGACTCAATAACGGAGTGACCCAAAGATCACCATCCCTATTTTCTGGCATCCGTAATGTTACAGACCCATCCTCATCATTTACCAACCCCTACCTTCTGTTAATTTGTTAACACTGAATTATATTTCCTCCACAATTCAGAATATACCCTGAAAGTTCCATGACATATTAAGCTAAAACTACCCTCTGCTTCAATCTTTGCCCCACATTTTGCTTGGACCTTTCACTTGGTGCTTAATAATGAGGCACAGCTGATATTGGTAATTTATATATGCAAGTACCATGTTCTTATTCTGCCAGAAGTTTGAGTTTCTTGAAAGTTTGGGCAAGTATGTTTTTAATCTCTCAATGCCAGTTACTAAAGCAGGATCAGGAAAAACAGAAAGTTTCATTTACCATCATTGACTGATTACCAAACAATTATGGCCACAGAAAGGGAGTTTTGAGTCCTATCATCTTTTGCCTTTGTCTCTTCTTTCTTCTCCTGTCTTCTCTTTCCCTATCTCAATTTCTTCCAGTATCTGTTATACCCCTCTCTTTATTCATCCCATCTTACTTGTAGTTCTCATCAATTTATTGCTTTATCTTCTTCCTCTCCTTATCTTATCATCTCTCATTTTTTAAAAAACTCCCTCCCCTTCAGTTTTTTTTCCCCGTATTTGCACTCCTGCCTTACCTGGTCACATCAGCAGGAAACACCACCAACTTCTCTTCAGTCCCATAACAGATCAGGAACTAAAACAGCTTCCAAAAGTGCGGGCTTTATAGGCAGCCTAGTAGAGTCCCCAGGCAACAGGGAGCATTCTTGATTAGTAAGCATTCTGGTTCGAGTAAGAGTGATGGAACCCATCTGCAACTCAGACATATCTCCAAGACTTACCTTCAAACCCTGCTCCCAGGCCCAAGCAAACCCCATCCATCAGGGGCTGGGAGAAGAGCCCTAGCCCTGGAGGCTGACAGTAATGGATATCTGCAAAAACTGCCTGCCTGGGTCAAATAACTATAACCATTCCTCTTCACTCAGCCTTAGGCTAAGGACTCTCAGCCAGGAAGGCTCTCTGAATGTCAGAGCTGGATTAGGAGAGCAGAAAGAGTCATCCCATTGTTCTCTGTTTTCAATATATCCTCTTCCTAAGAGGTCTCATTACTCTCCTGGCTGTTCATACATCCCTCCTCTTACACAGGAACTCCTCCTAAGAACCCTTCCCATTCAAGTCATATCTGGAGCCATCTACCTTCTATGCATAAGTAACCTAACATTTGATGAACACATAATATGTTCCAGAAACTATATCTTTCAAATGCATTGTCTTAATCAACCTTATGAGTTAAGTATTATTATCTATTATTTCACAGCTGAGGAAATTGAAGCTTAGAGAGATTTTTTAGTAACTTTGCCGTCTAAAAGTTAGCAAGTTGCAGAAATTGTACTCAAGCCTATTTCAGAAATGGTACTCAAAATTTTGAAATAAGTCTTATTTCAAAGCTTTTCACCTTAACCATCATGCTAGACTACCTTGTAATGTCAACTGTTTCCATTCGGATCTTCAGAAACTAAGGTTTAAATTCATCGTCCTTAATCTGTCAATTTCATAGATTGATTTCCAACTGTGTGCCCACATATGGTTTAAGCTTAGTTTAGTCTGGAATGCAACTATTCACAGTAGACGGTCAATTAATAATCCTGATTATATCTAATCTACCCTGGCTTTTTATACTTTCCCCCACCTTGAGACAGTCTCGCTCTGCCACCCAGACTGAGTGCAGTGGCGCGATCTCCACCTCCTGAGTTCAAGCAATTCTCCTGCCTCAGCAGGGATTATAGGCACCTGGCACCACACCTGGCTAATTTTTGTATTTTTACTAAAGACAGAGTTTCACCATGTTGGCCAGGCTGGTCTCAGACTCCTAACCACATGATCCGCCCACCTTGGCTTCCCAAAATGCTGGGATTACAGGCATGAGACGCCGCGCGCAGCCCTTTTTGTACTTCTTGAAACGTTTTCCAAATATATTCTCACTATATATGTATGAGTCACACTGAGTAAAGATGCTTATCTCAGTATCAAGGAAGATCAAGCAACTTTATAAAGTTACACATCAGGTAATGCTCAGATGCATAAGTAAACACCACCCCCTTTTCCTGGTTCCTTTTAGTGAAGATGAGTGACTATGAAATTTTCAGATAAGATTTATGAATATTAAGTAAGAACAGAAAGAATAGAAAATATTACATCAATCTTAATATAGTTCTCATTAATTCATTATTTCAAAAATATATATTAAGTGTCCACCATATGGTCTAAACTACATTACAGACTTGGATTGTGATGAAGTGGGATAAAAGAGACCCTGTTCATATGGAGTATATATTAAGCACAAGTCAGAAAAGCCCTCTGAACAGAAGTGAGGCTGAGTTTGAGTTCTAAAGCTTATGTGAAATTTCTTATTTTTCCAACTCGCTGAATGCACCATTTTCTCAAACTCTGCACATGTTATTTATTTTTAATATTTTTTCTTTTCTGATTCCAACCCCTTAAATATGTATACCTTATGTTATAAAATAGATAAATAAATAACAAATAAAGGCAAAAGAAAATAAATGTTCTATGTTCATCACTGAATACTAGAGTGATTCTAGTGGAGTAAGAGCAGTCTGGACAGATTTCTCCAAAAAAAGTTATTAAAAAATGACATACAACAGAAAACTATTCAGCAATAAACAGGAATAAACTACCAATACATGCAATAACATGGGTGAATCTCAAAAGCATTTTATTAAGAAGCTAGACATAAAAGACTATAATACAAGGTTTCATTTGCATGACACTCTGGAAAAAGAATCATTATAGGGAGGGAGAACCAATCAATGCTTGCCAGTCAATGCTTGCCCTCTGGTGGGTGACAATACAGTGGTTGACCACAAATGGGCAGCATAAAGAAATCTGGGGAAGTGATAAAATTGTTCTGTACCTTTGTTTCAGTGGTGGTAACACAATGCATTTGTCAAAACTTGTAAAATGATATGCCAAAGTGAGTAAATTTTATTGTACATAAATGTTTGAAAATTTCTTATATACAATTTTAAAGTATAAAAGCTTATGTTTTATCAAGCTAAAATAAATTATTGCTCTCATCAAAACCATTATGCAATTTCATTTCACAACCGATTATATTTGTACTGTTCAATACAGCAGCTACTAGTTACATATTACAACTTAAGGTTACACTTAAATCAACTAAAATTAAGTACATTTAAAATCCAGTTCCTCAGCTTGCACTAGCAAAATTTCAAGCAATTAATAGCCATGTACGGCTACTAGTTACTAAACAGCAGAGAAATAGAAAATATCCACTTCTGCGGGAATTTCTATTGGATAGTGCTGTGTTTGATACGCTTCTCTAACTTGATTGCATTTACATGGAAATAGTAGATGCCATTAAGGGCTAACCCTAGCACCACAAAAGGCCTGGACAATCCACCATCGGATCTGCTTGGTCGTAACACTGTACACAATAGGATTGAGCACAGGAGGGAGAAGCAGGTAGATATTGGCCATGAATGTGTGTATTGGTGGTGACAAATGCTTCCCATAGCGATGAATTAGGGTCATACCAATCAGAGGCACACAGAAAAGCAGCACTGCACAGATGTGAGAGAGGCAAGTGTTGAGAGCCTTGAGCCTCTCTTCCTGGGAAGCAATGTTCAATACTGCCCGGAGGATTAGAATGTAAGAGGCCAAAAGTATCAAGGCATCTAGTACAATGATGAAGATCACAGCCAGCAGGCCATAGATGCTATTGACACTGGTGTCAGCACAGGCAAGCCTCATGGCATCCTGATGGAGGCAGTTGCATGGGAGAGGACACTGGAGTGACAGAAAGGTAACCTTTTGATGAGCAAAGGCACAGGGAACACAGTCCCCACACTCCGTAGCAGGACTGCTGCTGCAATCTTGCTGATGACACTGTGAGTGAGAATGGTAGCATAGTGCAAAGGAAAGCCGATGGCCACAAAGCGATCAAAGGCCATGGCCACGAGAACACCTGATTCTACTCCCCTAAATGTGTGGATGAAGAACATCTGAATAAGGCAGCCACTAAAAGTTATTGAATGCCAGTTGAACCAGTGAACACTGACCATGGTAGGCATGGAAGACAGTGAAAGGCTGAGGTCAGTGGCAGCTAACATGGCTAGAAAATAATACATGGGCTCATGGAGACTTTGCTCAACTTTGAGGACAACAAGGATGGTGACATTTCCCAAGATCGTGGTGCTGTAAAGAAGACAGAGGGGCAAGGCCATCCATAAGTCTTTCTCTGGCATTCCTGGAATCCCAGTCAGTGTGAAGAAGTTCTGGTGGTTCTCAGTAGTTTGGCTGGGTGGTGACATAATGGAATAGAGGTTTGACTAGGGAAAAAGAGAAGAGCCCATTAAGTCAAATAGACTTCAACTGGAATCAGTAACGATAAGTATTGAGATGGTAGCTGTAAGAGGAAGTAACTTAAATATTATTCGTGCACACCCATGTTCACTTTGATACAGAAACCAATTTCCCCTGCTTCATGAAGCAAGAATGCTGCTACCAAGCACAAAATTTTAAAATATTTAGGAGAAAGAGAAACAAAAAACCTCCAGTCAACATCTGCACATAATAGGGACATATGCAATTCAGAAATATCAAGAAGCTACCTGTCTTGCAGACTGCAATACTAGGGAAGAATTTGGCGTTGTGTATATACATATATAATAAACATTAACACCAATAACCATGAAGAATATAACCACAATCCTAAAATGAGGGCGGTTCATAAACACAGATGTGCAGATATAAACATGTGGATGTATATGTGTGCATCTTAGTTGCGATCTTAAATTGTTTTGATTTTCATATGATCATTTCCCTCTTCGGTACTCAATTTCTCAATCCTTTCCCTCTTTGACACTTGTGTGATGTGAGATGGAGGAGGAAAGACACACTTTAAGGAATTTAAAGCTCTGACCTTCTGTATTCCTAAGAGTCTGTGAGTACTAAAGGGATCTGAGCCTGCAGCAAGTGAGGGAGGAAGAAGTCACCTTGGCTCCCAAGGAACTTAAAAAAGACCTACTGTGGTAGGAAGAATAATACCCTCAAAGATGTCCTCATCTGAATCCTTGAAAACTATCCACATGCTACTTTGCATGTCAAAGGGGAATTTCCATATGTAGTTAAAAATTAAGAACCTTGAGATGTAGAGTTTATCCTACATTGTCCAGGTAGGCCAAATCAAATCACAGTAGTACTTAGAAATGAATAACCTTTGTCAACTGCAGAGAACCAGAAAGATGGCAGCATGAGCAGGACTGGACCTGAATTATTGACATTGAAGATTAAGAAAGGGAACCAGAAGACAAGGAATATTAGTGGCCTTTAGAAGATGGAAAGGTAAGTGAACAGAATTTTCCCCTAAGTCTACAGAAAATATTGCAGAAAAGAATGCCTTAAATCTTGGTTTTAGCCCAGTGAGACCCATTTTGGACTTCTGATCTAACAAACTGTTAAAAATAAATATATATTATTTTAAGTCACTAAGTTTGTAGTAACTTCCTATGGCAGCAATAGAAAACAGATACCCAGGAGCCACGTAAGAGTTGCTTTAGTCCCTTTTCAGAAATATCTAGTCTTCCCATTGTCATTCTCATTTATTCAGGCCTTTTTCTTCAGAATGTTCTTCCATGCAATTAGATTTCTCTGTCCTAAGGTGCATCTAGAAAGGAATTTTGAGATTTACTTTTCTCTTCATTAAGGAGCAGAATGATCTCCAGTACTTGCAAAGAGTTTTACAACTACTCTATGGTTCAGCCAGATTAAATCCATCCATGGAGAATTTCCCAAAAGACAGGTTCAAACGTGGTTCAGATTACTGAAGTCAGTGTCCTGGGTGTTAAAACTCATCTAGAAGTTTTTTCCTGTTTCTCCTTAGAGAATACCCATTCTCTTCCTTCCATACTCCTATGTGGCCATTCTAATAAACATCATCTTGAGTTAGCAGCAGCTACATTTCTCACTATAACTCCAAGTAAGGCCTAGTTAAATCTGTGGGGAATCACAGATATTAATGTCTACTACTTGCAGTGAAAAAGATCAGATTAAAATCTTGGTGCCACACAATCAGTTCTCTTCCATTTCAATTTTTTGGTGTCGTCTTAAGAACACATATCCAAATGTGCAGCTGAGCTAATCACCGTTTCAGGCCAGTCTAGCCACAGCTGACAGAAGGTTCAGGACTAGAAGAAAGAGTAGTGCTATAGTGGCTCTGAAATTTGTATTTATCATAACCTTTCTGAGAATCTCAGAAAGGGTCTCCCAGTTAAGAATGCATACACACACACACACACACACAGACACACACACACTCCTCCCAACACACCACACACACATATATACAAGCAAAGTTCTGCATAAAAAGTAAGTGAATTCAGATATTTTAGAAAACCATCTATGGACCCAGGTTAAGAACTCTTTAAGAAATTATTTTAAATAAATGAAATAGGAGCCTTGGTCATAGAAAGTAACAAAGCCGCTAGACAAAATCCAGAGCTACACACAAAAGACAGAGAGCTCTGGATACTTGCGAATGAACAAGACAAAAAAAAGGCACTCCAAATTTCTCAGTCAGTAGTTTAGTGCAGTACTGTCCAATATGGTAGCCCCTAGACACATGCATCTATTTAAATTTAAATTGAGTAAATTAAATTACAATTTCACTTTACTTGTACTAACCATATTTTAAATGTTCAATAGCCACATGTGACTAGTGGCTACTGAATTGGATAAAACTGTTGTAGAATATTTTCATCGTTGCAAAAAAATTTTATTTGAAACTTCAACAACTGGAGCTGCAGACTGCAGACTTAAAGGATACCAACATCCTTGCTGACTCTTGAAAAATAACGGGTCTGATTGGATTGAGGGTCTTTCACTTATATAATAAGTGTCTCTCTTTACCTATATATCTGTCTCTCTTTACCTGTATCTCTCTGTCTTTGACTCTGTTTAGGGAAGTTGTAAAGAAAAATCGCTTTAAAAATAAAGGCTCTGGGGTTTGAATCTTAGCTTTATGACTTTGAACAAGTTACTTAATAATCACTGTGCTTAATTCCTCACTTCTTTAAAATAAAAGTAATAGTACCTACCACAGGGTTGTTAAGAGTATGCATTTGGAATATTGATAGAGCACTTAGATAAGCACCAGGAAAATAATAAAGACTCAATAAAGTTCAGATATAATAAATGCCCATGTATTACCTATAAACTTGGTAATGTTTGCTTGACTATAAAAATTATCTCTCAAAAGATTTGTCATGAAATCTATTTATATAATTCCAAAGTTATGCACCTACTTTAATATATACTATTTATATATGTTGATCAAAGTCTGTATTACCTAAATCTTTCTATCCCTCAGGCAGTTTATGCCAACATTTAACACCAGTGGCTTGCCGGCAGTGGCTGTTGCAGGGTTCAAGACAGTGGATTTGGTGGATCTGTCTCAATGACTTTGCACCTTATCATTAATGCTTACAATAAAGGATTTAGTGAAAGCAAGCCTCAGATAAACCAAAGATGAAAAGACAATATACTAGTAGAATTCACATGTAGTAAAAATCAGTAAGAAAAAGTAAAGAATAAGAAAATTGATTATGAGTGATGAGCAGCCACAAAAGGAACACTACACTGGCAATCTAAGCACCCTAATCCCAGAGACCAGCACAGACCTTCCAGAATTATGGACAAGGATAGTAAATGAGGCCCCTGATTACTTAAGATCTCATGAACGAAGGAAAAGTTGATCATGTTTAATTAATTTATTGATAAGTGACTTCAAATTTGTTAAGTTTGTACTAAGTACCAGATGTGTCGTGAGTAATCAGAGGACAAAAAGAAGCATTTTTCTTTTTCCGTCCAAGACCTGTTAGCAAAGAACATATGGAAAGCAAGATGAGACACATGAGTGTACTGTATAGCTGGGGTTGAATGAAGGCATGTTTTACAGGTGGGTCCATATATCCAGCTTGTCTCATCAGCTGACTAGCTTAATTCTGTCTAAATAATAGTGGTAGACCATGGAGAGAGTTGAACCTAAACTTTCCTCACAGCAATAGGACAGGAGCTTCTGTGGCTTCAGAAGTATATGTGGGGGTCAAGGTGGAGAAGGAGTGGGCATTGAGAGTCCTTCCCTTCTATGTAGTATTGAACTTCACTTGCCAACTCTTCCACGCAGACAGGAAGATGGAAAGGCTGCTCTCTGAGGAACAGGCATGAGCGTACTATACTCTTAAAGGATCTGAGCTGCTGAGTAAAAGCTGGCCCTTTGGACTTGTTTCTCGTGGGATCCATAGACTAGTCTCACTAGGATAAGAAACTCTCTGCTATTGACCTTGAGCTGGGACTCAGAAGAAGGTGCTCAAGGGTGGGTGGGGGAAGGGGACAATGATCTATATGGCTCTTGTTTTACTGACTAGTTTTTGGTAGAATCACATCTCCCCTTGCCACTTACTTCCCACATCTACAGTTAGAAGTGTTAGTTCTATTTTAATGAAAAGGAGAAGGAAATGAAAAACTAATGCTTGCTGAGCATTGTGATCATTCTAGACTCTTTATTGGTATTTAAAAAACACAAGCAATGCAAAAAGCACAAGCTTTGCGTGTTATCCTAGATAGACAATAAAAGGAATAATGGGCAGACATTTTAAAATTATTTTAGTCCTTTAATAATAAACAATCTAATATTTACTGAGTGCTTGTTCATGTTCCAGGCTCCGTTCTTAGCCCTTTACATATCCTATCTCATTTAGAGATACAAAAACCTTAGTGGAAAAGTACTATTATTATTGCTAATGAATGCACTAGAAAAACAAGGGTCAGAGAAGTTGATTAACTTGTACCAGATCCCAAAACTAAAGCTTAAATATAGGTTCTCTGATCATTGTGCTTTGAAGTTCTGTTTAGTTCTAAAGGAGAAGATCAACATTTAGTCACAGGGGAGATTTCTGCCATTAAATTCAAATCACAGATAAAAGAGTGAACGGGGCTCAACACACAATCTCCTTCACCTCTACCACTCATTGCTGACCTTTACATTTTTCTACGAACTGTCCATACTGCAGTCTCTGCCATTCTGTGACAAGGTCCTCAAAGAAAGCACTTCTCAGGCCTCAGATTTTTCCCCAACTCACCCAAAGCCTGGTCTAGGAGACAAGAGTCTTTTCTGATGTGTCAACCACAGCAGCACCCTTGCCCAGAATTTCCCCTGGAGTGATTCTGTGGAGACATGAGCATGTGACTTCCTGGAGATGCCCCTGGGGCAGAAGGCTACACAGACCCAGCTTCTGAGCATGCTAGTCTACTTTTATTCCCAGAGGACCTGGTTTTGCCTAATACAGATCTGTGGTAGCAACCCATCCAAACGCAGAATCATTCTCGGTCCTATATGAATGTGCATCACTAACTATACTGAAATACATTTAAACCCTAGTGCTTAATTTTAATAATTCTCTGTCTAAAAAGAAAAAGCTGAAAGAAAAATTTACCCTTGTTTCACACACCATTGTGTTATTTTCTCATTCTCTTTTCTGTTTCACAGCAAAGCCTCTCAACATTGTGCTCTACAATTCCTGTCCATACTTCCCATTCTCTCCTCAATTCACTTCAGTGAATGTTCTTTTTCACACCAC